GGCCGCCTCCACGCATCCGTGCCGTGCCGCGATGCAAATTGTCTGAGACGGACGAGACCGACATGTCCGCCGTGCTGTCTACCGAGGCGCCTGCCGAGGCTCCTGCAGCCCCAAGGCCGGCCGGTGGTCGGGCGGGGCGGGGCGGGGCGGGGCGGGGCGGGGCGGGGCGGGCCCGGGCGGAGCCGCGGGGCGGACAGGACAGCGCGCCAGACTGATTGGCCGCGCGCGCCGGACTCTCATGTCGCCCAGGTGTGCGTGTGCATCCCGCCGCCGTGAGCGGTTACCATGCCAACGCCAGCGGAGGCGGACCAGACACAAAATGTGTGTGTGTGTGTGTGTGTGTGTGCAGAAAATTATGGTGTTGTAATTAGTCACATAACACACAAGACACACAATTATGAAGTGTTGCATAGTTTACACATTTAGAGGGTCACAAAAATCTGACATGTTGAAAGTCTCTAACGTGTTACAAGTATGATCTGACAGGTCGTTTTGCCCTCGTCTTCAACCCTTCCTCCCCCTGTTGCAGAGAGCCGGCTGACGCGCAAGGCGCCGTCGGCCTACAGCGATGGCGTCTACATGCTGGCCGGGATGCACCGGCCGTCGCCGCGCCGCCTCAGCCAGGTGTTCATGCGCGGCGCGGACGGGCAGGCGTCGTCGCGCAACCGCACCGCGCTGCTGGCCTTCTTCGGCCAGGTGGTGAGCTCCGAGGTGGTGATGGCCAGCGAGAGCGGCTGCCCCATCGAGATGCACCGCATCGAGGTGGACCGCTGCGACGAGGTGTACGACAAGGAGTGCAAGGGCGGCCGCTTCATCCCCTTCCACCGCGCCAGCTACGACCGCAGCACCGGCATCAGCCCCAACAGCCCCCGCGAGCAGGTGAGCGTGAGCGAGCACCCCGCCGAGCGCATGCGCCTGATCATAAAGCCATACAATCTTCATGTCGGCACAGTTATCTCCCGCCTTCCCTTTTTTCCCCTCCGCGGTCAGCCGTAGCCGTGGTACTCTACGGTACACTAATAGAGCGATATCCCTCCTCACTCCCCCCTTTCCCCCTGGCTGGGCGTGACTCACCCACACGACAGTGATGTGCTGGTGTGGTCACGATAATCATAGTAATAATAATCCCAGCCCCAGGCGCTCCGCCGCGCTCCGCCGCGCTGCGCCGGCCGCTCTACAGCGGTTTCACGCCGCCGGTCGAGCCAAGCGTTCAATGCGATAATAAAAGAACAAAACTCCCCTTCCGTTTGTACGCGGCACCCGCGGCGGCAGTCATAAGTACAGTACACCGCGCCGAGCGGAGGAGCTGACTGCATACCGCCCCGTGCCCAGTCCAGCCTGAGGGGAGAAGCTCTGAGCTCTCTGCCAATACAGTGCCTCCCGCGAGGTTCACTTCGCTGTCACTGTACGCCAAAGGTGTGCTGTCACTGTACGCCCCGGAGTGCGATCACTGTACATCTCAGCGTACAGTTCCTGAGCACCCCAAATCAACAGAGGGCGAATGCTCGCGGACAACCACGTGGTGTGGGTTTGGTTTCTGCGGTAGCCGCGTACGGATGTGATCTACCTCCACACGCCGGCGCCGAGCGGCGGGTGGTGTCTCAGCGCCGGCAGTCAAAATATTAATGGCGTGATAAAAAGGCGAGCGAAGCCGTGTGAAGACAAACTCGTAAAACTGGTCCTCCTGCTCGCCAATGCGATCTTGTCGTCCCCCCGGGAAGCTCACTGACTCTTCTTCTCTTGTCCGTCCAGCTCAACCGCGCCACCTCGTGGATCGACGGCAGCTTCGTGTACTCGACGTCCGAGGCGTGGGCGGCGGCCCTGCGCTCCTACCGCAACGGCTCGTTTAAGACGGAGGCGGGCGGACGGCTGCCCGTGCGCAACACCATGCGGGTGCCGCTCTTCAACTCGCCGGCGCCCAACCTGCTGCGCACCGGCAACCCCGAGCGCCTCTTCCTGCTCGGCGACCCGCGCACCAACCAGAACCCGGCGCTGCTCTCGTTCGGCATCCTCTTCCACCGCTGGCACAACGTGCAGGCCGCGCGCGTCCAGCGCCAGCACCCGACCTGGCCCGACGAGGAGGTGTTCGAGCGCGCGCGCCGACTCGTCATCGCCTCCATGCAGGTAGGGGTCGTAATGTAGTGCACAAAATTAATTACGCTATTTTGAGCTGGAGAATTCTCATCCCCTTAAGGGTTCTTGTTTTCCGACTGCACTTTATTTCAACTCAGGTTTTTAAGTATGTGTTTTTGAGGCCATAATAAATGAATCCTCCTCATCCGGAACATTTTTTTTCGGGTGGGGTAACTTTATTGTAGCGTTTAAAAATTTACATAACCAGCTCTAATTTTAATTAGAGAGCCATCGTGGAAAAAGAACCTCACTTTTCAAAAATAACAATTTGTGTACTTCCCTACACGTTAGGAAAGGAACCGGAAATATGAAAGATTTAGCTCACAAATAATCCTCAACACTTCTCTTTGCGTTTCCAGAACGTGATCATGTACGAGTACCTGCCGGCCTTCCTGGGCCAGAGCATCCCGCCGTACGACGGCTACAAGCCCGACGTGCACCCCGGGGTGAGCCACGCCTTCCAGAGCGCCGCCTTCCGCTTCGGGCACACCCTCATCCCGCCGGGCATCTACCGGCGCGACGGCCAGTGCCACTTCCGGCCCACCAACAGCGGCTTCCCCGCGCTGCGGCTCTGCTCCACGTGGTGGGACTCCAACGTGAGTACGGGGCACT